GTAGTCTACATGGATGAACACAGCTGCTTAAGAGAGACAGCCTCAGAAACTCATAGGACATCCCCTGGTTCTGTCCTTTCGTCCAGGGTCACGATGAGTCGGCATCAACTCCATGGCAGAGAGCTGGGTTTTTTATTTGGGTACTTTCAAAATTTGCTAAATTGAAAATAAGACCTTTTGTTAACATTTCCCACCCACCACCACCCCGGTAAATAACTTGGGAGTGAGTTCAAGCTTGGCCTCTCGAAGTGTTCTTAACCATTATCATGCTGTACTTTCACAGGTCAGTCTAGACATATCGAATTACATGTACCTCTATAGTATGTACACAGAGCAACAACATATTTTAGCCACTTCCCTAACTTTAACCATCAGTGTCCATTTTCGGACAAAAAGGAGTAATTGGGGGGACAAGAGGCAAGAAAGGATTTTTTTCTCTTGATTTATATGAGTTTTGCAGTTTAAAGAAAGATTGGTTTTCCTGCATAACCTTAAAGAGTTGTGACATTCCTAGGTGATTCATAGCTGTGAATAACTGTGATTTGAACTTTTAAAATGGGTGAAAATTCCTATGGGGGGATTCCCCCTCCCCCCTTACTCTGTCTCTTTCTCAAGAATTTTCATGTTGCCAGAAACATACTGAAAGAAAGAGAATGACTCCCTTCTCATACATAAGGGTGATATTAAGATGACAAATCATGTTTGCCAGAACCTAACATTAGGCATTAGAAGTGAGATGCTTTCTAGTTTTAAATTTAACTTGCTAGCTGTAAATATCTATTAATAAGTAGAATGTGGATTGTATAAATCTAGGGAAATTGGAAGTTGTCAAAAATGATATGGGATCCTTGAAGATCAATATCCCAGAAATGGACTAATATTGGCCACTTTAAATTATACAATCATATGGTGTACTATGCCCTGAATAACAAATTGAAAAGGACTGGCATCACATTTATCGTGACAAAGAACATTTCAAGATCCATTCTGAAGCACAATGCTGTCAGTGATAGAATAATTTCCATATGCCTACAAGGAAGACCAGTTAATAGCACTATTATTTAAATTTATGCACCCACCACGAATGCCAGCGATGAAGAAGCTGAAGAATTTTTACCCCTTTCTTGAAGTTGATCAAATATGCAACCAGGAGGCATTGATATTACTGGTGATTGGAATGTGAAAGTTAGAAACAAAGAAGGGTCAGTTTCAGAAAATAAGGCCTCGATGACAGAAATGATGCCCATGATTGCATGACAGAATTTTGTATGATCAACTTGGATCTTAAAAATACATTGTTCCAGAACAATGTGTACATTGTTCCAGAACCTCAACAGTGACTACCCATTTAGACATCACCACATGAAATAAACAAGAATTTAATTGAAGGTATCATGGAAAGAGACAATGGGAAGCTCCGTAGTTTTAGTCAGAACAAAGGCAGGGTCTGACTGTGGAACAGACCACCGATTGCACAAATGCAAGTTCAGGTTAAAAGTAAAGAGAATTTTAAAAAGACCACGAGAGTCAAAATACTAAGCTGAGGATACTCCACCTGAATTTAGAGAGCACATCTAAAGAACAGATTGTATGCATTGAACACTTGACAAGCTATGGGGCGCTATCAAGGACATCATATATGAGCAATTGGGGTTTAGAGAGGAGCATTGTCTGTGTCATATTCCTGCTTTTATCGCAATCACAATGAGCCAAAATCCTGCCTTTAAAGAGCAATTGGAAAGGTGGAGGCACTTTAGGAAATAAATTTAATTCTGTGATATATGCTATGAAACACAGAAAAACATGTGTTGGTGGGTTTGGAGGGGATAATGCCAAGGCTGGGAGGTAAGATCACACTGGAGGTACTGAAAACGGCAAGAGTGCTAGTGTGGCTAGAGTGGCTGCCAAACCAACACAAACTCACTATCCTGGAGTTGAATCCAACTCCTTGAGACCCTATAGGATATAGGTGAACAGCCCTTTTGAGTTTCTGAGGCTGGAATTCTTTACAGGAGCAGAAACCCTGGTCTTTCTCCCTGGGAGCCAGTCACAGGTAAGTTTGGAGTGGCATCACTTAGGAGAAAATATCAGGAGATAAGTTTAAAGTCTTCAAGATACACAAGCAAGCCCACTGTTGCCAAAGCCAATTAGATCTTACAGCAAACCTATAGAACAGACAGTAGAACGGCCTCATGGGATTGAGGATGCTCTAAATGTTTATGAAAGCCAATTGCCCTGTCTAACCCCACAAAACAGCTGCTGGGTTCCATCTGCCCAACTTTCAATTAGAAGCCAAGGCTGCACTGCCAGGACTCCATATTAAGAGTCGAGAAGAGTGGGAAGATAATGCGGGGCCTTGTTGGCCTTTGCATAGCAGTTTGGCTTTTAATCTGAGTGACATAGAGAGTCATTGCTGCTTCTGCAAAAAGTATTACTATGAGATGACTTGGATTTTTAATGTTTCATTTTGGACTGTGCTATCAGGCGGGATTGCTGAGAGCAGGGTGCCCAATGAGGAGGTTACAGAAGCAATCCAGGTGAGATATGAAGATGACTTGAGCCTGTGCAGTAGTCGGGAAGTGCATGTATGTGATTGGATCCTGGCTATCTTTCATGGGAAGCACTAACAGGCTTTGCTGATGGATGGTGTAGGGGAAGAGTAAGATTGTAATCAGAGATGACTTCAAAGTGTTTGTCCTGAGCAAACTAAAGAATGGAATAGCCATTTATGAGGATGGATAAAACTATGAGAGGGGCAGCTTTGGGATGGGATAGGAATCAGATGCTCAGTTTTGGAAATATTGAGTTTGAACTACTTTTTAGAAATCCAAGGGGTGGTACTGGGTAGGGAGTTTAATATAGGAATCCATTGCTCAAGGGAGGGATCCAGGCTGGGACAACAAATTGGAAAGTTATGAGAGTTTTGTTAATATCTGAAGCTATGAAATGCGACGAAATTAGATTGTTGAATCATCAGCAAATAATCATCTATAATACTCTATCTGCTTTGTATCCCAGATGACTCATCTCTGATATTAAATCAAACCAAACTAATTTGTATATTCATTCAGGAATCAGCTTCTACTATTTGTGTGCCTAACGTACAGCTCAGTTGAATGTGGGATGTAGACAAGTGTTCTTGTTAACAACCCAGATCCTGTCTTTAAAAACATTAACATTGAGTTAGTGGGGGGGGGGCGCGGCAAATGGGAAGACTTCTACATATGACATTCCGTTCACATGATATGTACTATTGAATGCATATCGGTTAGTCCATAAAACTTGTCTGATTGAATTCCATGTTATGCTTGCTTGCCATAAATGCCACAGGCATTCTAAAAAATGAGATAACTGTGCATAATATGGGTAGGCATGTTCCTCTGAATGTCTGGAAATTTCTTTAGGGTTGTGTCCATCGAAGAGTTGTGGTAAAATTAAGGAGTCAATTTTACTGCAAACTAAAATTATTAATTTGGGGTGAAAACCTTGATTTTTTTCCGCCCTTACAAGTGGTCTGTAGGGTGAGAGAGGGTGAGAGGTTAGGGAAGCCAATAAGGTGAAGGGCCGGCAGTTGTTCCCATGGGTGGAGGGGAAGAAGAAAGACATTGGGGAAAATGGGGCTGGGGTGAGGCAAAACAGGGCAAGCCATCTGGATATTTGGTAAATGTTTTAAGTTGCATAATGCAAAAGTGATGGACTGATATGAAAACTTCCACATAATTCGCAATATGATGCCAACAAATGTACAAATGTGCTTGACACAGTGGATGTATGTATGGGTTGTGATAAGAGTTGTACAAACCCCCAATAAAATGGTTAAAAAAAAGAAAAAATAACCAAAGAAAAATATTTTTAAGGAATTATATGGCTTCCAGCTAAGATTTTTTTTGACATTGCACAAAAGAGTCACAATGTCGCCGCAGTCAATGGAAAACGTGTTAAAATGATGACAAGAATGAAAATAAGAATGTTTTTATAGGGCTTTTAACTTTGCAGAGGGCACTGACATCTTAAATTGCATTTGATCTTTTCAAATCTCTCTGCGCTAAATAGGGCAGGTAATGCCTCCGCTGGCCCTAAGAGCCTCAGTAGCCCCTTGTTCAGCATTCTGTTGGGGAGCATTTCATTTTTTTCAATAATTTATCACGCAATTTAAAATTGCTGTTTTAAAATCTAAGTGAGAGCTTGCTGTTCTTATGTCAGTATACACACTAGAAGTACTATTTACGTCCTCTTGGCACACTGAAGAACAAAATATTTACCATTACCTGACTCATTAAAAGGGCAACCTCGTGGCGCATGGAGGTCAGTGGCTCAAACCAACTACCTGCTCCACAGGACAGAGGAAACTTGTCTGCTACTGTAAAGATTTAAAGTCTTCGAAACCTAAAGGGATATGGTTTTATGAGTTAACTCATTAAAAATGCTCTGAAGCCAGAGGCTCAAAAGTTACAATATGAACACTAAGAACCATTCCCCCTCCAGGACATTTGATTTCCCAAGCTCTCATAGTTCCCTTCCTCAGATCCACAGTCTGAAATGTACTACAAAACCCGAGGAAAGAATATGATTTCCCCTGAATGGAGTTCTTCGTTTGTTTTCATCCCAAATTTGTACTGGGTTAATACTTAGAGTCCTGTTCATTTTAGAATTGGCTAATATTTCTTAAACTGTTCACTGATTTTAACACACAGACACACAGAATAAAGCAATATTGTCTTTTACAAATTGCATTGCCAGACAAATATTTTTGAAGGCTGACTTTCTTTTACCTTGAGTATTTTCTGATGCTGCAGCCTCCAGATGAATCATAAATGCTTGACAATGCAAGTGTGCAACACAGGGTGTTATTATTGCCTCTAGCTAGCTTCCTGTCATGGAGCAAACCCTTTGCTTCACTCTCTTGATAGCATTATCAGCATCAATTGTGAATCTGCGAGACGTGTTTTCTTGTGAAAGGCCAACTCTAAGAAGGCTTGCGTTTTTCCTCTTTCTTCCAGGTCTGCTTGTAATAAGGAGTCCCTCTTCCTCTTTTTTTTCCCATGAAAGTGAGTTTGCTTAATCAGAGATGGAGCAGACCGACTGCAAACCCTACCAGCCTCTGTCAAAGGTCAAGCATGAAATGGATCTCGCGTATACTAGCTCTTCTGATGAGAGCGAAGATGGGAGAAAACCACGACAATCCTACAACTCCAGAGAAACTCTGCATGAGTACAACCAGGAACTGCGGATGAATTACAACAGCCAGAGCAGAAAGAGAACAGAGGTGGAGAAATCTACCCAAGGTATGATTTGATTGGGATTTTATAACGAGTGTGATTTTTCAATGGGGAATGCTCATATGCATAAGTTTATGTCCTCTGAAACAAATGTGCTGATGTTAACTGATTAATATTTTGCACTGCTTCCATATGCTTAGTGAGTCTGTTTCAGATGTCAACACAACTGAGGTGATAGGTTACATGTGCTTTTTATGGATTACACATGAATTTTGATGAATCAATCCTCTTATCAGAGCATTCAAAATCTGTCTAATCCTACAAATAGCCATTTACAGATTGAAGGATAAATAATTTATAGTAAGATGAAAACTCAACAGTTAAGTGCTTTTCAAGCCATTGCCTAGATGGGACTAAACTCTCCAATAACTATTTGCTGAAAGAACTTTAAGCAGATCAGTGAAGACCACCACACAAAAGTTCAAAAAGCCTGTCAACAAGCTGTAGCAGGAGAGTCAGAATGGGCTGGGACTCTTCCTAACCCAACTGGACTGGGTAACAGCACCTTTAGACAACTTTGGGTTGAAAAGATACCTTCTAGTAAATAGAAAACTGTGAGATAAGTATATGACTTCTTATATCTTACATAAACAATAGTGGTCACTTTCCATCGGAACAAGATACTGAGATTGGCAAAGGTTCCTTTAGATGGATAATCACGACTAAGATGAGAAGAATAGATCATTGGGTCTCAAAGGGCAGTCCTCAACTTATGCTTGTTAGACATTTCAATGATTAAGCCTTCAGAGTCAGAAAGCCTAGGAATGCAATTCAGCTCAAGCCCTCCCAGAATGTTCCAGGCCCGCTATTCCATCCCAGAGGGGAGCTCAATAATCACATCTACCTGGGTGCCTTGGACTGTTTCTTGTCAGCCCTTCACCATTTCCCTGTCGTCTTAAGTGTTCCTTTACCTACTATATATTTACCCAATGTACAAGCCAGTTTCTCACCAGTGAAAGTGATAACCTTAGCAGCCCCTATCTCCCGCCTCATTCTTACATCAATGACTTATGTTAATGGTGGTCCTGTCTCCTAGCCTTCCATAGACACTTTCCATATCCATGTCCATATAACCTCTAAATCTCTCAAATCCACTTCCTCTGCCCCATTCTCATGAGCATAACTCTCATTATTCTTCACTAGATAGTTTTTCATTTTCTAACTGGTTATCCAAAGCTCTCATGTTTAATCCTTGTGTCATTTTATTAGCTCTTCCTTGGAGTGCCTTTCCTTGCTATCTCCTTTTAACCATAGCCAGACCGTTTTCCTGGGCTAGCCTAAAAGACAGCCCTCCCCATGCAGCTCCTGATGCACTATCGCCATCCCCATCCCCACCAGTACCATTACTTTCACAGGGGACTTCTTCCTACATGAACTTCAGGATACTTAATTTGTACCCATTCCTACTTCTTATTACGGTTATATGATCTTAGATCAGTGGGTCTCAACTGGTGTGTCATGACTCCTTTGGGGGGTCGAATGACCCTTTCACAGGGGTCTCCTGATTCATAGTAGTAACAAAATGACAGTTATGAAGTAGCAATGAAAATAATTTCATGGTTGTGGGGTCTCCACCACATGAGGAACTGGATTAAAGGGTTGCAGCATTCGGAAGGCTGAGAACCACTGGCTTAGATGGTTCACTCAGTGAAGATGGGGAATCCTGTTTTATTTATGAACCTCTATTTTCTATAATAGTTTTCATATCGGATGTGCCTTATAATTCTTTATTAGAGGATTAAAACATTATCCACAAAAACACAGGAAGTTGTCATGCATTGTTTAAATAGTCCATAGTCTATAAAAATAGTCACTATAAATGAAAATGGCTGCATTCTCATTGACTTGAATTTTATATTTAAAAAATAATTTAAATTAAGCCAAAGATTTAAGACATTAAATGTTTTTATTAACTATATTACTCATTTTTATCTCTTAACATAATTGGAAAAATTTTTATTCTCTCTTTGTGAGTAATTAATTGTAATCTTCTCTATTTATTCAGCCAAATACCACTTAAATTTGTTCTACAATGATTGTATTTTTATGCCTAACTGGCAATTGGTAAATGTTTTTCCCTTTAGAAATTTTTGACTCAATCATAATGTGTCCCTCCCGTAAAGAAACATCTCTGTAAGTTTGTCCTCACAGAAAGATGAACTTACAGTTGTGAGTTTTGGATTGAGGGTGGTTGACCTGAGTTGGCAGTGTAAATCAGTATGCCCTGATGATGTTACTTTATTCTAAAATAGACTCAGTTTTGACCTGCGTGGTATCAAGAGCTAGTCAGCCTCATATTGGCTCTCTGTGTCATGTGACTAAAGGGAATCATAAGGTGAGGGCGTTATCATCTAGGGTACCATCCCTAGCTTCCTTTCAACATGGATCAGGACTCAAGAACTTTCCGTGAGTACTTTGTTACTCCCAGACCCTGAGTCAGATGCTGGAGACAGAGACAGCTATGACAGATAGTGCTTGTGGTGGAGCAGATACTTGTTTGAACAAGTCATTGCAGTAAAGGGTAGCAAATGTTTTTAGAGAGAAATAAAATGCCAAGGGAGTATATAGCATGCAACATATAGTGTGTTTTGGGCTGGTGGAAGGGTGTAGCTTGCAATGGTGCAAATTCAATACGGCTAGAGTAAGGTACATTGGATATATGAAAGCTCACATGTTCAGTTTAGATGTTTTGTTCTTTAACTATTGAAAACAGACATTTCCATGGTGAAGAATTTCATGGCAAGTTCTTATTTTAGGATGAGAACTCTAGCATCCGTCTAGAAGACTGAGTGTCATTGGGATAACTTGGAGGCAGGGAGAAAATTCATGGAACGGTTGCACCAGCCCAGGCAGTGAATGGTAACAAAAGCCTCAGCTCCAGATGTATGAAATCACATTGAGGAAATTTTACTGCGGGTGACTCGATGGCCCAGGTTGAAAGCAATAGTAGAATCACAAAGACCGTAAAATGTCAACATTGAAACACTGGAGAGCTGGCGATCCATTTACCAAGAGAAGGCACTTGGAGGAGGAACAGGTTTAGAAGGGAAGAGAAAGCATCTCTTGTTAGACCGCTTAAGATGATTGCGTCATTCCACAGAGCAGGCCTGTGGGGGAAGTGGTTGAGTGCACAGTTATGAAATGAAAGGTTGGAAGTTTGAACCCACCAGCTACTCCATGACAAAAAAGGATCAGAACCCCCTTGGGACATTTCTGCTTCTGTCCTACCAGGCCAACATGGCTCAGAACGCACGGCCAGGGCAGTGGGGTCATCCTTCAGGGACTAAGAACCTTTTGGAACCTATTTATACTTTTAGCTTGTGTTTATATCAGGGGCTGAAAATCTGGAAATAGGGACTTGATCATGAGATACACCCGGGAGGAAAGCTGTGCTCCCTATTGAGGATAAATCAATTATCCAACAAAAGGGTAAAGTGTGGGTCCAAATATCATCGTTTGCTTTGGAGGGATGAGGGTCTGCAATCATCTGTTGATTTCTTCTGTGGAGAAAGAGAAAAATGTCATTTTAATTCTTACATGGCAATGGTAGAATCATGGGTCAACTTAGCAAAATGAACCTAATACATTATATGCAATAAAACTCTCAATAAATCATTGAGCTTGAGGTCAGGAAGGAAGGAAGTGAAAAGGAGAGAGTCCCCCAACCTATTATAATGCCTGCTATCATACTGTTGTTGTTGTTATCGTTCGTGGTGGTGATGCCATTGAGTCAGTTCTCATTCACAGCAACCCTATGCACAACACAAGAAAACACCATCCAGTATAATGCTCTGCCTTTGTAAAGCTTGCTAGCTGGGTTATGGTAGCAAACTACTCCAGGTCTTCGATCTTGTTCTTGCATCTGCCCCTTGACTTCATCCTCAAGTTCATCTCCGAATAGTATCTCTATCTATTCTGTATCAGGATATAGCAAGGAGCTTTATATTTGCTCTGCGTAAATACCAAATTATTTATGAAGTGACATCCCCACTTTAGAGATGAGGTGGTAATTGAGCCTTGTAGAGAAGTGATTTTCTGAAGATTTCACAACTACCGCTAAGAAGGTAGTAAGAGATGGGTGTCTCCAAAGCATCACGCTTCACTATAGGGCACTGCCTACAGACCTACCATACCAGACATCAGGAAATGGTGGTGAGGATGAATTGGCAACACAAGTGTGTAAGTGTTCAGGAAGCCAATAAGTGTTGGTTTCCTTTCAGCTCCTTCTCCAACAACCTGCCACCAGTCTTTTATGTTCCCATGCCCAGGGTGTTATTAGAGGGATCATAACATTCCTATCTTGATTATCTCTACAAAAGGACAAGTGATGTGCTATATATTTTGTACCTCCAAATATTACTGGGTCTGTTTTCAGTATTTATGAAAGTTAGTGTTTCATTCAATTCCAGGGATATGGTTTAGTAAAGGACTCATGAGAGGAAATTCTTCATCCAGTCTGAAAGCAGTTTGATCGATTAATCATTACTGACCAGGAAAGTAGCCCCATATACTACACAGACACTCATGTATACATGAGCACATATGTACACACAATACTGGATTTTAGTATGATTATTATTTTTTAAATTCTTGAGTGAAACTAAAAATCAAACTCAAGCTCAATGCCATCAAGTTGATTCTGACTTATAGCCACCCTGTGTGATAGGATAGGACTGTTCGTGGACTTCTGAGACTGTAACCCTAAATGGAAATTGAAAGCCTTATCTTTCTCATTGGTGCTATAGTGGGTTACCTGTTGGACTGCAACCTGAGGGTCAGTAGTTCAAAACCAACAGTTGCTGTATGGAAGAAAGATAAGGCTTTCTACTTATATGAAGAGTTACAGTCTTGGAAATCCATGAGGCCAGCTCTACCTTGTTCTCCAGGGTCGCTATGAGTCACAATGCACTCCAATGGCCATGTGTTAGGAGGTTTTCAATGAAAGGTGGGGCACTAACATTATGCGCAGTTTTTGCTAGCAGGATGATTGAAGTTTAGGCAGGCTT